CGGGCCCTGCCTGCAGAGCCGGTGGGAGGTTTTGCTCCTTCCCCGTCATCCGGTGGAGGCCGGTACCCGGAGCAGCCATCTGTCCTGCTGCTGTCTTGCCGAGAGGCGAGAGCCTCTGCTTGCTCCCATGCTTGAACCCGCCTTGTGCGAGCCCTGTGGCTGGCGGGGTTTGCTCCGGGGATGATGCTCTGCTGCTTGCTCGTGCCCCGGTTCGGAGGTGCTGGGCTTGGAGAGCTGTCCTGGCTCCCCTCTGCATCGGCCACCCGGGGAGCCCGGAGCTGGGACGTTTACGGAGGAGGTGGTGAGCTGGGGTGCGGGGAGCTGCGTTCCTCCCGCAGCTCGGAGCGACGCGAAGGCTCGGGGCTGCGCGGAGATGTTTACAGCTCCGGTTCCTGTTCCCTTTTCCTGCTGGGTTTTGCTGCTCGAGGCTATTGTCGGGCGTTTTGCACAGGAAGGAGGAAGAAGTGTTTTGTTTTAAGCCAATTATGGGAGCCGGAGAGGAATGCGTGAGCGGCTCTGGACTCCAGGGCTGGCCAGGAGCAGGGACAGTGTGGCAGTGAGGACAGAGCCTGGCGCCGGTGGGATTAGGCAGCTGCCACACCGTGCTCAGCCCGTTTGGTCCTTGCTGTGGGAGCTCTGCATAGCTGGTGTTCTGGTGGCAAAACCCATCTCGACGGATGGTCCAGCCCGGTGGGCAAGCAGACCCTGGCCAAGGTGCTTGGGTGCACTCGGACCCTGCTGGAAATATTGCCTGGCCCCGTTTTGGGACCTGGTTTTGGGGCTGGAGGTGGGATGTACAGCTTCGGCCTTGCTGGAGACTGCAGCGGCGTGTGATGGGGTGCTCTGGCCGGGAAGCTGCTGAGGTGCCGGAGCAGGTGTGTGGATCAAGCTCTGGGACATGCCCCATATCCTACTGCAGGATTGTCTCCTTTTCGCTGGTAAGGGCAGACCTTGGGCTTTTTGTGCCGTCCCTGTGACATGGCACTTGAGAGGTCCTGGTCCTGCGTCCTGGTGACGCCTGATCGCGTGGAGGAGCCCTGTCTTGTGTTACCTGGGACGTGCGTGGGGATGCTGTGGGGGCCTGGGAGGGAGCGGAGAGGAATCCGTAGGCTGTTCTTAGCCCTTTTGTTAAGGAACGTCTTCAAACGAGCCTGGAAGAGCCCTGGAAAATAACCAGTGAGTTCCCAGTCGTGCCAGTGCCAGCTGACACCCCTGCACTGGGATCTGCGCCCCTTCTCCACCTCGGGCGAGGAAACGTGGCTGCATACAGGGAGAGCCGGCCGCCCCGTGCCGCGGTGGGTGCCTTGCCAGGACGCCTGCGTGGGTGCTGGCAGTGCAGAGCCGATGGTGAGGGAGGAGGCCGGGCCACCTTCTGCTCTGCTTGGCTCCATCCCAGCTTTCGGGACAAAGGCTGGAGTGTTTCCACAGCCGAGCGCTGGTGCCTGGAAAACTGCCGGCTGCCAGCACCTGCTCTGTGGGGCTGCCGTGACGAGGGCTTGGGGTCCCGGCTGCCACTCTGCTGCTAGCAGAGCTCATGGTGACGTTTCAAGGGGCTTCAACTGGTCCCTGACCCCCCGAAAAAAGGCAGGGAGTACCTTAACCCTTCTCCTACCTTTCCCCTCTTCCAGCTGGCTGTCCTGGAGGACTACGCAGACCCCTTCGATGCGGCGCAGGTGGCTGGTAGCCAGGCAGGGCTGGAGAAGGTGACGGAGGATGGATACATGGAGCCGTATGAAGCCCAGAAGATGATGGCTGGTAAGGTGGAAGGCTCCGTGCAATGGCCGCTCTTTGCGCCTCTGGTCCCTGCTGTGTGAATTTGGTGGCCACTGTACTCTGTTCCTTGCAGCCCGTGACAGCACCGGGTCCCCCCCGACAAGGCAAACTCGGGCAATCGCTGTGGTGGTGCACAGCCACTTTGCAGGCAAATTTTCACAGCTCTAGCCCTGTGCGATGGGCTTGCTGTAGCCAGAGCACTCACAAAGGCTACCTGAGCAATGAAGGCACCTTGATATTTCTCCCTGCGGGTGCTTGTCCCCCAGGACCGCGGTGCCTGCTTGCCAGGCTGAGGCAGGAGAGACCTGACATTTGATGCATCTGGCATAAAACCGAGGTGGATGTGGGGGCTATGTAATTTGGTTAGGATTGGGCCAGGGCGTGCTGTTGTCTGCCGCAGCAGCGGGGTCCCCAGTGGGCTTGTTTATGGCTGGAAGGCAGGCGAGGTGAGAGCGCGCGCGCTCCCGAAGGCATCGCTCTTACTGCTGTGGCGCGCGCAGGGTCGCCGTGCCTATTTGCGCGCTCCAGGCTCTGGCTCTGCTTCGCAGTCCCGTGGTTTTCCTGGAGCAAGTGGTTTCTGGAAAGCTCATGCAGCTTTTTGGACTAGACCATTGCATTTCTTGGAAAAATGGGCAAGCAGCGAAGGCTGCTCGTGTCTGTGGGAGGGATTTTTGTTTTGCTCGAGGGAAGGGTATTTCATTAAACTAGCCACACTGGGTGTCCAGGAAAGAAACTCGGCCTCGCTGCTCGCAGGGAATCAGGCCCTGGGATGCTCTGTCCCCATGGACCCTGCTTTGCAGGGCTGCCTGGGAGTGGGGATGTTGTATGCTGGGTCGAGAAGGCATCTTGGTGCTGTGGACTGCTCAGGACCCAGCTGCCCAGTAGCTCCCCCGCCTCTGGCAGGTGCTTGCTGAAGGTTTGGGAGGTCTCCTCTATTGCTGATGCTCCCTACCCCACGTCGTTCTCGGGTGAAATTGAGCCCTTTCATCTATCAGGGCTTTGGGAACCATGGCTGGGCTGTGTTGGGCAAAAAGCTCATGGTCTTTTCCCTCCTCTCCTGCTAGAGATCCGCCAGAAGGGCTTACGGGAGGCTCCCGCCCGGCCGCTGCACCTCTACGACACTCCTTACGAGCCTGTGCTTGGAGGGCTGGACGTGGACGGTGACCGCCCAGCTTGCCCCAGGCCCAGGGAATCCCGGCTGCCCGAGGACGACGAGCGGCCGCCGGAGGAGTACGACCAGCCCTGGGAGTGGAAGAAAGAGCGGATCTCCAAAGCCTTTGCAGGTGAGCGATGGGAGCAGCCATAAAGGATGAAGAGCAGCTGTAAAGCAGGAGATGCTGCGTTATGTTTTGCAGGGGTAAAGCTGGCTCCTTGGGGTTCTTTTGTGGGTCAGCAGCGTTGGCCTCTGCATTTCTGTGGCTTGGGGAGCGCTCGTGCACTTGCAGAGGCTGTTTCTCTTCAGCAGGGAGACAGGCTGGGTGGAGTGGTGGACTTGGCAGCCTGTCCAGTGCCCATCTCTCCTTGCCTCTTCCCCGCTCTGACTGATCACAGCCTCTCGTGCGAGTTGACACCCCCAGTCTCGAATTGCAGGGGAGGGGTTTGACCCTGGGCTCAAGCAGATCCCTCCTTCTGTGGGGCAGGAGGAGAGCTGGGCGCTCCCCCAGGAGCCCTTGGCCAGGCGATTGTCCAGCCCCCTGACCTATTTATCTGTGCTGTGGGATCGATTGTGTTTGTGTTTGTTAATGAGGAAATCCATGCTGTGCATTAGTGCTGGCTCCTTTGCCAGTGCTGGCTAATTGCCACGCTCTTATCGAGGATGCATTTTAATTGCAGCATTGTGCGTCTGCGCTGCAGCCGGCGCGCACACGGCGCTCGAGCCGGCGGTTGTTGGCGCTGTGCGGGGATGCTGGCGGAGAGAGGCGTGGAGAGGTGGGCTTGGGAGTGGTTCACCTTTTGGGTTTGGGCTCTGCGAGCTGGAGATGTGTGCGCTGGGCTTGACACCATGGCGTCTACTCGTGCCATGGGGTTGTGCTCATGCTGCTGGGACGTGGCTGAGCACGGGGCCGGTGCCCACGGCACGCTGTGCCGAGGATTCAGCTTGTTGGGCTCCGTCATGAAACGTGGTGCGCTGCCGGGCTGGGTTCGTGCTGAGGTGTCGGTGCTCCGGATCTGGGCGGATGAGCCGCCTTGCTCGATGTCCCTGGGTGGAGGTGGCATGTTCACAGGTCTGGATGCATGTGGGCGCTCCCCAGGGTGCTTCAGGCTTGCTCTGAGTGCCGAGGGAGTCAGGTTGCCATGCCCTGGGCCACGTTAGGACCTGCTGCCTGTTTTCTTTTGGAGCCAGAGCCGGTCCTGCTGCGGCTCGCAGGGCATTTCTCCTCTGCTGTGATGCTGGAATCTCTTTGCTGGCCCATTCCCTCTCTGGGGGGCCTGCGAGACCCCTGCTGATGGGCGGCTGGTACCGGCACAAGGCAGCAACCTGCTGGTGCCTGGCAGGGGAACGTGGACCCCGTGGGGTGGCTGGGAAGCACCCGGGGCAAGATGGATGCAC